ATTAACAGCCGAGATGGAGGCACGCAGTTCTAGAATCGAGAGGTGTGAACTTACACACCTGCAATTGCATTATTTCAGATGTCAGAAAAACATATTTGTTTATTAAAAAGAGATAATTAAACGTAATGCTTAGTGGTGGTTCCCATTTCATCTGAAAGCATCTTTATCTGTTCTTCTGGATTTACACTTCCATTGGTCTACTAACATTCCAGCCTCGAGATGAGCCAGCCAACTTAACCGCATCCCGTCAGTGGACCTTAAAGCATAAGGGACTATTGTTAGGCCCACCGAGTGTAAATCTCTCTCTATACAATGATAACTTCTGGCACCTGTGAATTCTTTACTAATCATCTGTAATTGCCCCAATTTGTTGGTGGCCCTTGAGACTGGCACCGGGATCCCCGGTGTCATGAGAAAAACCTAATGGAGTCTGGAAATAATCTTTACCATGTGTGTGTACTATGGTCCCACAATTTCTTTCCCATTGATTCCAACTTTCTATTTTTTTTTTATTTTTTGTGATTAGTTTTATGCTTCAGGCTTTCTCCTTCTGATTTCCTTTTTTTTTGTTGGTTTTTTTTGGTTTACAAAATGGCGGAGAAAATGTTCACTCATCTTAAAATGACCTGCTGTACCCATCCATAACTAATGCTTGTAAATGGTAACGCTATGTGAAATAATATATCGTGATGAAAATATTTATGGAGTTCATTTTCTAATCAGTGAATTACTGGGAGTCAATAAAAGTCGGACGTATATTCGCCAACTTAGTTATTGTTACAAAGAAACAATTTTAACCTCATTTGTATCAGCTATTTGTGAACTGACGACATTTAATTATTAGTGTATAAATCGTCTCGATGTCTATTACTTTGCAGTATTAAAAGCCATCATATGGCACTCCAGCTGTTGTTAACTTCAACTCTCACAATAACTAGCCAGCAATTTTGCTATTTCTAGTTCCTGTGCCAGCGACTAGGTTGGGCCATTTCAATAAAGTTTACATATCCAAGTTGTGACAACCCCGGCCCAATGTATTGAGGTAAACACCCAGCCTTGGCAGTGCAAAGCGTGTTTACGTCCAACCAACAGCAAGTTGAACAGCCTTGGTAAGGTACAGAACAATTGCCTGTTTGGTTGAGCAATCTTATAAATATATACAAGTTTACACAAGTTATATTTTAGGATTTTTATATATGGAAAGCTTGTACTTTATAATTCCATACTGCAAAGAGAGTAATGTCACACCGTGAGACAAAAACATTAGTTCTGGCTTGCTCAAGATTTGTGGGCGATACATGAAGCAGCAGCTACTATTAGCCATTCGCAGTTGCCCCTACTAGTGCATCCTCTCTCCCAAAACTGATATGCCAGAAGAGCAGCTAGGGACACAGGCACTCCTCAGCACCTGTCCCAGCATTTCATTATTGGGAGATGGTTTGAATTAAGACAAAAGCTGTCTGGGAGTTTTACGACTATCAATCTTTGGCAGGGAAGGAAATGTATGCCACAATGCTCCCAAACATCAAAGGAATTCTCCAAACACCATAACCACTACAGTGCACTGTAGTGGTTGTGGTACAAGGAGGGCCCTGGTACACCCTCATTATAAATAGTAAAACTGCCTCCACTACTTCTGCAAGAGAACAGGAAGTTCTCTGTCTGAGCTAAACCCAGCCATGCAAGGCATCATAGTTCATTGGCTGACAGAAATCCGGATGTATCTCAGAAGAGCTAATGGAAGCTCGGGAGTTGCAATTTCTGGATGTCTGGGAGAAGTAGTGGAGTTGGGGAGCAGCGTCTGCAGACCTCAAGTGAGAAGTCATGCCGAAGTTTGAAATTAGTTTAACTACTACATAGGAGAGGCACCTAGGCACTCCATCACTATAATCACTATAGCATGCTGTAGGGGTCATGATGTTTGGAGTCTTCCTTTCAAGGAAACCTAACATAACCCAACCTTAATTTTAATAAAATCCTGTCATATATAAGATGCATAAGTGTAAAGTGTTATAGCGTATTATGATGTCTCAAAAGCCCCTACTGTCTATGAGACATCTCGTGTAACTTGGCCTTACTTCAATTTAAAAGGACCGGTAGTGCCTACACAAATGATATCTTTATCCTTCTCGCTATTATTTTATAGACACCCCTATCTATAATATTTGGATCTACGTGCTATTTAACACCTTCAATGTTGAAGAATTGAGCAACTTGGGATTTTCTCATGTATCGCGGTCTCCCCATCCCCCGCCCAATCCCGGCACTCACAAAGAATTGTCTCAGCATATGTCAGTAATTCCACCTGCCAAGGACATCGAATGGCTGACAATTAACCTTTAGGTCACAGCATTCCTGAAATAGCCATCATTTTCTTTGACATCAAAAAATGGCAAGATGAAATTGTCTAAAAATAGCTCAAAAACCACGACCCCTTAAACAGGATCATAGTCCTAATGTAGAAACAACGACAACATAAATAGGATCATGGTCCTAATATAGAAACAACGACAACATAAATAGGATCATGGTCCTAATATAGAAACAACGACAACATAAATAGGATCATGGTCCTAATATAGAAACCACCAGAGAATTAAATCGCATTCATCAAATGATTCATCAAAAAGGAGTTTGTTGCTGTTTGTAAGAAACAGAAAACACCCAACGCTAAAATAATGGGATCTTTGTATCAGAAGAAAGAAAGCCGAGAAATGGTAAAGTTAGTGGTAGCCACTGGCTAATCAATTTAACAGCAACGTGGCATTTAAAACCTTTTTATAAGACGCCCCATGTAGCTAATATGGAACTGTCTTGAAAACAGAACAACTAAATTTGGGATCAATATTCTAATCAGTGTGAAAACCATCACACTAGATACTTATTACATAAATACTTAAACACATTCTCATATCTGATATTTATTGAGAAGTTAACGGCTGCTGTTAATGATGTTGACACGATACCAATCCCATTGTACTGATACATTCTGATTTCATTTTTACCATTAGCGGCAACATGTTTTGGAGATGAAAATTCTTCTGAAGATTCTAAAACTTTTATGTAGCCATAAAAACAGATAATGAATTTAACCCTGAAGACTTGAAACGTCTTTAAAAGTTTTTGTAGCAAATAGACAATATTCCCAAATAATTTCAAATTCCTTCATGAACAGAAGGGACACTAGTAGCACCTGCCCTGACTTGATACTGTGATAACCATTCCTCACTAACAGACCACTATAAGCACAATAACCACTACAGCGCTTTCATTATGATGTCAGGAATGCCCTGGTGCCCCCTCATTTTAAGTAGTCAAACCATTTTAGAAAGGTTTGACGTCTAACCTAGGATCTGCCGATCTCCAAGGCTGGATTGGGAATACAATGCAGCAGTGTGTGAGGGTGTATATATATTTATATTTATATTAATACAATATCTATGTTTATAAACTACTCACGCTTCTGGGGCAGCAAGTCATAGCTATATTTCAAATGTTATAAAGTAATATTAAACATTAGCCCTTCAGTGTGTATATATACAAATTATAGGTATGTTTATTTTTTTTAAATTAAAACTATTTGCCCTTTCAAGCATACAAACTCACAGATACACAGGCTCACTGACAATCTCACTGACACAAACATCCAAGCTCACTCATTCACAAACAGACTCACTGACAGACAATCTCACTGACATACACAGAAAAGCTTACTGGCAAACATACACAAGCTTACTACAGACAAACTCATGGTATACGCAAAGAAATTCACTTCAGACAAGCTCAATGACACACACACATCACTACAGACAAACTCACTGGCACACACAAGCACTCTGATACACACCAACACATATAAGCTCACTCACTACAGACAAACTCACTGACAGGCCCATACACACACAAGATCACTCTCAGTCATGGGCTGCCAGCGAGGCCAGTTGGTTGAGACTGGGTCGCAATGCGCAGGTGCTGGGGTGGAGGCACAGAATAGGTGCAATATACTGTGAATTTTAAAAAAGGAGCACTCCCCCACTTCTCATTACCGCTAGCTGGCTGGCAACCTCATTGCGGCCACACCAGCCCTCAACAGCTCCATCCTTGATTCCCTTGGACTGTCTACCTTTTTGGCCACAGGTATCGCAAGTCATCTGGAAGTTTCCCGATATCCAGATGGGTCAGTCCGACCCTTACCATAACCACTTCAGCACGCTATGTGGTAATGATGCTTGGAGCATTCTTTTCATCCAGATTTTTTGCAACAAATCTTTGTTATGTGCACATTATAAACACAGGAATCCAACATATAGCAGCGTTTTTAAAATGGAGTCATTAACGTTCCACGCTGTTAGCGATTAATTCCTCCCACAGTGACAGCAACATGGAAACACATGAAAGAAAAAAGGCAGACATGTTACTAATACATTTCACACGGGAAAATATGAATAATGAGCTGTAATTTACGCATTTCAAGCCCTTGATTTAGGTCAGAATAGAAATGGATCTGATTTATTTTCACGGATTATATTTTTTAGGTAGCGCAGGAACTGAGTGTGTGTTGAGCATAGATTGCGTCGCATAATTAGCGATGATATCACTTCTAATCCACATCAAGTGACCAATTTTTGCACTAGAGGAGCACGCCTAATCCTATGAAAATAAAACCCAAAAGATTAAAAGGATCAGTGGAGAGGTTCCAGACATGACAGTCATCTTAATAGCTTGAAAATTAAAGGGGGATTTGAGGGATGGATTGGCAAAAAGCATTCAATTATTATGTGTCGAAGTATTTTCTAAAGGTGAGAAATCAATTTTATTAAAGGATTATTTAAAGCAGTATAAACTAGAGAGAGAGAGAGAGAGAGCGAGAGAGGGTGGGTATAGGGTAATATGAAGAGAGATGTTAGCTGGAGTAATAGGTGTAGTTATAAAGAGAGGTTATATGGAGTAATAGGAGGAGTTATAGAGAGGTTATATGGAGTAATAGGTGAAGTTATAAAGAGAGGTTATATGGAGTAATAGGAGGAGTTATAGGGAGAGGTTATATGGAGTAATAGGAGGAGTTATAGCGAGAGGTTATATGGAGTAATAGGAGGAGTTATATGGAGAGGATATATGGAGTAATAGGAGGAGTTATAGCGAGAGGTTATATGGAGTAATAGGAGGAGTTATATGGAGAGGTTATATGGAGTAATAGGAGGAGTTATAGGGAGAGGTTATATGTAGTAATAGGAGGAGTTATAGGGAGAGGTTATATGGATTAATAGGAGGAGTTATAGGGAGAGGTTATATGGAGTAATAGGAGGAGTTATAGAGAGAGGTTATATGGAGTAATAGGAGGAGTTATAGAGAGAGAGGTTATATGGAGTAATAGGAGGAGTTATAGGGATAGGTTATATGGGGTAACAGGAGGAGTTATAGGGAGAGGTTATATGGAGTAATAGGAGGAGTTATAGGGAGAGGTTATATGGAGTAATAGGAGGAGTTATAGGGAGAGGTTATATGGAGTAATAGGAGGAGTTATAGGGAGAGGTTATAGTAATAGGAGGAGTTATAGAGAGAGGTTATATGGAGTAATAGGAGGAGTTATAGGGAGAGGTTATATGGAGTAATAGGAGGAGTTATAGGTAGAGGTTATATGGAGTAATAGGAGGAGTTATAGGGAGAGGTTATATGGAGTAATAGGAGGAGTTATAGGGAGAGGTTATCTGGAGTAATAGGTGTAGTTATAAAGAGAGGTTATATGGAGTAATAGGAGGAGTTATAGAAAGATTATATGGAGTAATAGGAGGAGTTATAGAGAGAGGTTATATGGAGTAATAGGAGGAGTTATAGGGAGAGGTTATATGGAGTAATAGCAGGAGTTATAGGGAGAGGTTATATGGAGTAATAGGAGGAGTTATAGGGAGAGGTTATATGGAGTAATAGGAGGAGTTATAGAGAGAGGTTAAATGGAGTAATGGGGGAGTTATAGGGAAAGGTTATCTGGAGTAATAGGTCTAGTTATAAAGAGAGGTTATATGGTGTAATAGGAGGAGTTATAGCGAGATGTTATATGGAGTAATAGGAGGAGTTATAGAGAGAGGTTATATGGAGTAATAGGAGGAGTTATAGAGAGAGGTTATATAGAGTAATAGGAGGAGTTATAGGGAGAGGTTATATGGAGTAATAGGAGTTATAACATTAGTTTTAAGAAGTTCTTGTGAAGAAGATATTTGAAAAAGGAAATTAATTAAATTCACCAACCCATGGTCCTATATCCAGTGAAAAAAAATATTATAATATAGTATTTATATACAAATTATTATACAATCCCATTGTACAGCGCTATGGAATTTGCTGGCGCTACATAAATAATAAAATAATAATAATTGATTGTTCTTGTCAAGGTAGTCTTGGTTTTATTGGGAGAAACTCCATACTGTGCCTTCATTTGCTGCTTCCAAATCATATTTTGATTAACTGAAAAGAAAGGGAAAATATTCTTTGTTGCCTGTTAAATTGGTCTAAAATCCTCAGAAGTAAAATAGGTTAGTTGTGAAAGTCTGCATTTTCTGAGAAACTGGTAACACCAGATGCTTAGACTGGTACAAGTTGTCCAAGAAATTCCACATGTTACTCATTGCTCCACTTTGCATAAGATGTTTAGAGTGTACATTCATACATAAAAACACACACACAAACATAACTCTGTCTGGCTTGGATATAAGGTTTTACAGATAGTAGACTTATTATCCAGAAACATATTTATGAGTTGATCTGCTTCAGGAAAGTTACAATATTTAATCTATATTATTATTATTATTATTTTATTATTTGTATCGCGCCAACAAATTCCGCAGCGCTTTACAATGGGTGGACGAACAGATATGTAGTTGTAACCAGACAAGTTGGACACACAGGAACAGAGGGGTTGAGGGCCCTGCTCAATGAGCTTACATGCTAGAGGGAGTGGGTTATAGTGACACAAAAGTTAAGGACAGTATTAGACGAATGACAGTTGCAAGAGAGGAATCAGCCAGGAGCTATTAACAGTTTAATTGATACGCTTTTATGAAGAAGTGGGTTTTTAATTATGTTATAATTATTTTGAAGGAGTGGAGACTGGGTGAGCATCTAACGGAGGAGGGAAGTGAGTTCCACAGGAACGTGCAGCCCTCGAGAAGTCTTGAAGGGGAGCACCAGAGGTGGGAATATGGACAGAAGATAGACGTAAGTCTTCAGCAGAGCGTAATTGCCTAGACGGGACATACTTGTGTATTGGTGATTTGAAAGCAAGATCCAGAATTTTAAATTGAGCCCTATTTCTTACAGGAAGCCAATGTAGGGACTGACAGAAGGGTGAGGCGCGGGAGGTGCGGGCGGACAGGAAGATGAGCCACGCTGCCGCATTCATTATGGACTATAACAGCGCAAGTTAGGAACACATAAGACTAAAAAGCGGATTACAGTAGTCAAGGCTAGAAAGGACAGTGGAATGGACCAGCACCTTAGTCGCATCTTACGTTAACTAGGGTCGGATTTGTGCAATGGTTTTGAGATGGAAACAACAGGATTTGGCAGTAGACTGAACATGAGGTGTAAAGGAGAGGTTGGAGTCAAAGAGAACATGGTGGAGCTGATGGTAGCACCGTTGACTTGGAGGGAGACAGACACAGGAGAAGCAACACTCGAGGGAGGAAAGACTAGAATTTCAGTTTTGGGCAAGCTGAGTTTAAGGAAGTTAGAAACAGCAGAGAGACAGTCAGAGCCACTAGTCAAGAGGGACGGGGAGAGATCAGGAGGTATTCAACCTTAACATCTAATCAGTGTGCTAGGTCGTATAGTGTAAGTGATACAATCCCTAAAAGATGGATCTAGGTTTCCCTAGTTAAACACCCCTCTTTCTGATTGCTGTTGAGTTTAACAGAACATTCCAAGCACCATAACCACTACAGCACAATCTAGCGCTCACGGTGCCAAGAATGTCCTGGTGCCCTCCAAGAGTAATTTGCTAAACTGTGTTAAAACAGTTTAATGTTTTACCTTGGTCCTTCAGACACTAGTGTCACATCAGATTTCTCCTCCCAGATGACTTCACAGAAATTAGTAGGTCGAATTCAGTGACCCAATTTCAATTACAATTATTTATACTGTGCCAACATATTCTGAAGCGCTGTACAACAGGTGAACAAGACTAACATTTAATTATATCAAAACATGTATGACCGGTTTAGCTAACCAGAGTCTCCATTAGCTGAGCCTGCCATGAACCAGGTAAATTTTCAATGTGCTGTAGAACGGTTTGCCAAATTACTCTGCGAGGGCCTCAGGACACTCCTGGTACCATAGCCACTACATCAGCCTCTAGGGGTTATGGTGGTTAGCATTTTCCTTTAAATAATATGATGAATTTCACATGTTACTCCAATGGCCATTGGAGGGAATGGCCACCTGCCAACTTTAAGGCAAACCTCTCAGGTGGGTTCTTCTCTGACCCTTCACCTTGCTTCATTGAGCTTCTGGCAAAGATATCTCTAATGAGACAGAGAGAGGTATTTTTTTATAGGCACCCCTACAGACTTATTAACCTTTAATAGGGAACATGTGGGATGGGCGGCAGCATTGTAACATAGCTGTGTGATACAAAAAGTGAATACAAATACAAAAAAACCAAATCCTGTGCTCAAACTCCCATCACTCCTAGGCGACAGCAACGACCATAGTACACATCTGCCCCAATACATACAGCAGGCGGGCATTCCCTCCAATGGCCATTGGAGTAACTAAATAACCTCCATTTGTTTAAATATTCGTAGGGATTTGGGAGAGGGCGCAGGTAACTTTTTTTCTTTGGTTAGTACCTGATTATGCCAGCGAAAATGAAAAGAAATAAAATTTTACTGAAATAAAAACTGATCATGAGTTATATTTCTTTACTGTATATTTATTTTATTTTGTAAACTTTTGAATTTATGAACAATAGCACTTTGCAAAAATAACGATAATGGAATTAGGTTTTTATAAAGTTTCCATATTGGCTATTAGTTAAAAAATTGCTTATATTAAAATAATCTAAGTACTTTATGCCCAGGAAACCAGCCAACAACTGCATTGGAATTATTGGTCCTCCCTGTCAACTATCTGAAGAAAACAATATCTCTTCAATACATTTACTTTAGTCACCATTTATGTTCTAAAATTGCCGGTGTGAAAAGGCCGTTCTGAAATAAAGTTTCAAAAAGACAAAAGGATAGCAGGCGGGATTTTAGAAGTAAGGTGGTCCAGGGGACCTTCATGTCCCCCCCCAATCAGTTTTGGCTCCACGGTGGGCGGTGAGACTAGTTCGCTTAACATGTGGTATCTGAGGTCAGGAGAACCTCTATGCCTTTCTTGGTGGTCCTACAGCAACCTTAACCAAAGCTTTCATTAACCGAATCTTAATTACAGAGTATCATAGCAGTATATATGTACAAAGGAAACTAAATGTGTGGGAATTTTTTTTTCTGTTGCAAAAAATTTGAATCATCATTCTATAACTCATAATATAGATTTTTTTTAGAAAATATTTTAATTGTATGGTACTTATAGCAGGAAGGTAATTGGATTTGTAAAAATATAAAGCATTTAGTATTTATTTCCAGATAAATTATGTAAATAATACATTTTTTAAAGTCTTCAATTGCACACATATAGGGTTATTGTTGGAGATCCAATGGTGTCTGAGCCTGTCCTGATAATTAGCAGTCACAAGGTCACTGTGCATTATATATAAACCCAGCGCTGTCTGAGCCTGTCCTGATAATCTGCTGTCAGGAGGTCGCTGTACATTATATATAAACCCAGAGCTGTCTGAGCCTGTCCTGATAATCTGCAGTCATGAGGTCGCTGTATATTATATATAAACCCAGCGCTGTCTGAGCCTGTCCTGATAATCTGCAGTCAGGAGGTCGCTGTATATTATATATAAACCCAGCGCTGTCTGAGCCTGTCCTGATAATCTGCAGTCAGGAGGTCGCTGTACATTATATATAAACCCAGCGCTGTCTGAGCCTGTCCTGATAGTCTGCAGTCAGGAGGTCGCTGTACATTATATATAAACCCAGCGCTGTCTGAGCCTGTCCTGATAGTCTGCAGTCAGGAGGTCGCTGTACATTATATATAAACCCAGCGCTGTCTGAGCCTGTCCTGACAATCTGCTGTCAGGAGGTCGCTGTACATTATATATAAGCCAAGCGCTGTCTGAGCCTGTCCTGATAATCTGCAGTCAGGAGGTCGCTGTGCATTATATATAAACCCAGCGCTGTCTGAGCCTGTCCTGATAATCTGCAGTCAGGAGGTCGCTGTACATTATATATAAACCCTGCACTGTCTGAGCCTGTCCTGATAATCTGCAGTCAGGAGGTCGCTGTACATTATATATAAACCCTGCACTGTCTGAGCCTGTCCTGATAATCTGCGATCAGGAGTTCGCTGTACATTATATATAAACCCAGCGCTGTCTGAGCCTGTCCTGATAATCTGCAGCCAGGAGGTTGCTGTACATTATATATAAACCCAGCGCTGTCTGAGCCTGTCCTGATAATCGTTAGTCAGGAGGTCGCTGTACATTATATATAAACCCAGCGCTGTCTGAGCCTGTCCTGATAATCTGCAGCCAGGAGGTTGCTGTACATTATATATAAACCCAGCGCTGTCTGAGCCTGTCCTTATACTCTTAGTCAGGAGGTCGCTGTGCATTATATATAAACCCAGCGCTGTCTGAGCCTGTCCTGATAATCTGCAGTCAGGAGGTCGCTGTACATTATATATAAACCCAGCGCTGTCTGAGCCTGTCCTGATAATCTGCAGTCAGGAGGTCGCTGTACATTATATATAAACCTAGCGCTGTCTGAGTCTGTCCTGATAATCTGCAGTCAGGAGGTCGCTGTACATTATATATAAACCCAGCGC